GTACACATTTTTACACAATTTTCACTTCTGATTGCAATTGCAATTGTGATTTTCTACGTCCCGAGGAGCAGATTTGCTGACAGACGAGTGATCTTTATTGTCAACTAGTCTGTCGGACAAGTAGATTTTATGTACTTGGGTTTTGGTACTTGGTAATTGTGTTTCTTTTGAATTGCTTTTAACTTTTCAAATATTGAAATATTGGTTTGTTGTGGAGTTGTCAAGAAAAAAATCAAAAATATGAAATACGAACATTCTGGTCTCAGCCTAGCTGTTAATTGAATTAAAAAATAACTATGAAAAAGTATATATACTTTTGAAACAATAATATATGAAAAAATAGAATATTGATATTTTATCACAAGAATAATTAAATCTATTTATTTTTGATTTTAATGGTTACATGATGGAACTTTTGTAAATATGTGTCGTATTTTTTGGTTATAACTACCAAAACAACAAATTTTAGGAAATAACACTTTAAATGTTTATTAAAATAAATTTGTTTTTTTTTATACTGTAAATGAAATAAAATGCAGTAACACCACCTTTGTTTTGAGTTTACTTTTTCCAAACAATGTGACAATTTCGGATTATGACTCATTTACAGTCATCGCTGTAATTGACCCTATAACAGTTGTAACGCTCATTTTCATTATACACCAATATATAATGCTGAACGCGCGTGTAGTGATATCTCATCAAGCTGGGGATTACCGTTGCTATTTTTAGACGTAAACAAAATACATGTATCACAGATGAGAGATTACCACAAACACATAAACAGGCTTCACACACCGAAATCTTAATTTAATCAAATGTAGAAACAAAACAAACAACAAATAACGAAAGTAAATATTGAGGAAACGAGAACTGTTTCGCGTCTGCAACGTAAATAAACATGTAGGCTACAGTAGGCCTACTGGATTTTACAAGAGATTTTAAACTCTGGGTCATATCTTACATGCATAATTGTGATCAGGAGCAAACATTGATCGTAGTAAAATAGCCATAACCTAGAACATCGCCTTTGATATAATAAAATGGTAAAAAATGCTAACACTAGTGAAAATTCAATCCAACTCACCGCTACAAGTTGAACCGGATAAGCGGCTAGAACATTTCTTCGTATTTAACGCATGCACAACAAGCTATTGTCTCAATTCTAGCCTATAAGGGGATACCTAAATTGGCGCTTGACTACGGGGAAATCGGATATTCTGGAAAATTCCACCAAACCCCATAAATACATCCCATCTTTGGGCCGTTCTGTGAAAGATATCGAAAAACCATATATAGAGTTTTCTTCAGAATAACTTGGACTACTTATATTTGGAGTTTCAGCTCGTCAGCTTAAAGCGCTAATTCTCCATAATGAATTATACAGAAACTAATGGTCGAAATGCCGATGTTAGCGTGTTTGACCCTAAATATCTCCATATCTAGATTTCCCCTAGATATAACAAATATGCATGGATTTCTACATATATGGAAGTTTCAGCAAAAGTTATTGAGAGGTTTTTTTCGTACTCAAATCACTGATAAATGCGGCAAATTAGCTGAATTTAGCCGTGTTATCATTTCGTTCCGAGGAACGATAACAGAGTTATCGCCCCTACAATACTAATGAATAACTGATGAAGATATCTTCCATTAACAGGTCAGCTATCTTCAGTTTGCCCTCAGGCTTCATGATCGATAGAATTGGTAACAGCGGTAAGTATATCAAGTGTTTTGTTAATAGTTTTATTCGGTTTTAAATTATAAAGTGTATGAGATTGTTTCCTAAAGTGACAGATTGGGCTCATCAATCAAAATATATTTGCATAACTAAATGTGTATTAACCTACACGTCTTTGTTATATCCAATCAAGTATGTGGAAATATATTTTAGTAATTTGGATCAAATACTTCATATTTCTGAAACGGAATTTCGAATTGATTGTAAAGCTTTTGTTTCAGGTTTAAAGATACTTACCGTCGTCCTCTTCTTCGCAGTGACTCTGTGACTCTATTTTGCTGAAATGACACATTACTGCAGCTCGTTAGCGTTTTCATCATATAAAATATTATTAGTCCCCTTCAAAATGTGCCAATGGAATAGTGATTTATTTTTGGTTGCTTGATATATCTTTGCCCATTGGACAAATCTGTTTTTCGTTATAAATATACGTGCAGCCATGGTCACAGCTTCAGTAAGGGGCAATTGCTAAATATTACCGTGTCTTAACCGTGAATTCTGAAGAAAATTTAGAAATTAACTTAACATCTTACTTTCATGTCTAGACATGGCGATTCAATTTCGTATCGTTAATGCCAGTGACAAGCGCAATGAGCAAACATAAGACAATGGCAAGGAAATGAGAGTTCGAAAAATACTTTCTGGAACATTCATTGATATGCTTTGCTTCTCCATGCTTGATTATTCTAGGTTCTGCGATTTTTCTGAGCCTAATGCCGTTGCTTGGTTCAGTCCTTTTCGCAATTGGAGCTATGACACATGGTCAGACTACTGTACCTATGTACATATTGATGGTTGCTGGGCGGGTCATACTGGCCATTGGGAGTGGAACAATTAGAGGTATGTTCATACACAGGGTGAGCAAAATCTATATTTGAATTGTTTGCTAAATTCTGATGAAATGTCTTATCTAAAGTTACCATGAAAGCGATTATTTTTACAGCAACATGTATTTTGACACAGACCATAACGCATTACAATTATTTTGGCTCATGTCGCTTATAATAATGTTATAACGTAGTATGCGACATCAAATACTCCATTTAAGGCATATGCATTTCTGTTTTCCTTTCTTTAGTACTTCAGGCCAGAGTGGTTGCCCATTGTTTCCCTGGAGCAACTCTTGTGCCCGTGGCGTTTGGTTCAATCGGACTTGTGGGACAAAGTTTAAGCTATTTTGTAACACCTAACATAGTGGCAGCAGTTGGATTACGCGTCTCTATATGGTTAGGTAGGAACTAAAAGAACTTAATTATACAATTGATTAATCGTAATCACTAGATCTTATACAGGTCAATAGATGCCATAGTTTTTGCATGCCATCATCCCAGTGAAAATATTTGATTATATATGTACCTCAAAGATTACCCTCATAGTTGACATTGGTATATACGTAATTTTGTGAAGGTATCCTCGATATGATGCGATAATTGAAGGTCACACGAGAGAAGACATTAGGTAATTCATAATGTGGTGCAGCAACGCTTATATTCCAGAATCATATGCTTGTTTACTTTCTNGCTTGTTTCCTTTCGAAATTGCTGTGGTTTGTGTTGTCATATTTCATGGAAGCACACTGTTGACATTTATTTTATATAGGAGTAGTTGCCTCTGGATTTAGTTGTATGTGTGCAGTTTGTCTCGTCTTACTTCTTCAAATGCAGAAACCCATGGAAGCAGATGATTCTGAAAAAAGCAAAACTCCAGTGAGTTGCATTTCTAACACAATCGCTTGACGCAATTCTTTAATAAAAGAAACTGATGGTTTTCTTGTTTAAGTAATTGAAGTATCCAAGATTAAAAACTTCCATTTTTTATTTTAGACACTTAAAGACATAATTGCCCTGCCGACGAATTTTTGGCTGTTTATATGGACGATGGGGTTTATCCAAGGCGCTTGGATCTGCAAGCAAACCAATCTACCGTAAGAATATTGCTACCGTATTTTCCCTAATTTGATTTTCTCCTTCAACTTTTTTAACACTAGAATCTTAAACAATCATCAGTATATTTTGATGTTTTAGCAGAGCGGAGCTACCGTCATAGAGTTTTCTTCTATTGTTGTAGAGACTTTTTGGAGGTACGGTATGGCTTGACAGTGGCAGAGGCAGACTACATTGCCAGCGTCCCTTCTATCGTTATGTTGTTAACTCCTGTCGTATCTATTTTACTGGTAAGTGTTTCTAGCTTCAGCCTTTTACATGTTTCTAATAAACCAAGATGCAACAAAGATGAACAAAAACATCAATGTCCTACCGTCGCTTTGGCTTTGGGCACTGTGAATGACATATGTATTATCATGTCGATAGAATTTTATAGCATACATGTACATGCATACAATGGAATACATAGCTATACTGATTGTGAAATTATGAACAGTTAATAAACAAATTTGTTTTATAGAAGTACATTGACTGTCATGGAGTCGTTCTCACAGCAGCCCTCATATGGATGACGTCTGTTTTTGTTTTATTGGGATTCTGTCCGGCCATCCACCCCCTTATCCTCGCTATAGCAGATGGAACAGGTGCAACTATATATTCTGTAAGTTTGTATATCGATGTTTGATGTAGGTGGAGTGTATACACTAGGGATGCTTTTCTGTCATGTTACTGAGTGACATTAAGTATAATGCATGGCTCTGTTGAATATTTTAGATAATAATGTGGCAGCTCCTAGTCGTTATCAGTCCCGCAGCCTTTGTTGGGACTCTCGGAGGTATATTTTATTTAGTGAGACACCTAACAGCAGCGTTCAGCTTACTTGCCGCTGGATTTATACTGCAGAAACCTGAACAGTACGTATCGATTAACGTTATTAGATGATTGAATCTGTCCATATAGAAAGAACAGATGTTCGATATTTATCAACAATTCTACAACATGATCAATGTGTCTTCAAATACTAAATCATTGACAGATGTCATAAGGGAGAAACCAATATTTTAGATTTTTGTATTCAGTCTCTGTTCAAATTAGTTGTTCTTTCGGTGTAGTAAAACTAGCTGCATGATCACTGTTGTATAAGGTGTTTTTTTAAACAAGAACTTATATATCCTACTCACAGGACTGAATTGAACAGTGCTCTGAACTCTTACAAGCATTTCTTCTTGATGTTGATATTGATGGCGTCCTCCAGCGTGGTCTTGGTTGTGATGATGAATGTGCTGGATTTCCTCGAGGTAAGTTTACATATCTTATCATTTCATAAACATTTGCTGAGCTGAGGACAGTTATTGCATTATCATTTAACATTGAACTATAAAATAAACAATTACTTTCTCTTATCTAATTCAGATATAAAGTATATCTATTTCTGTTTTGATCTTTTATCGTGTTGGTGGTTTGTACTCTTTTAGGCCTGTGCTTTCAATTCAAGGATAGGCAATTGGAGGAAAAACAATATAGAATCAACAGAACTATTATCTGGGATTCAGTTACCGACCACATATACAGAAACAATGGACCACACTTCAAAATGACCCTTAGAAGAGATGTAAACTGAACAATTTTCCATGACTTGTTTCATAACTGTTGTAAAATGAATAAAAGTTTATGCATAAAGATATACTGGTCAGTGTTGTATTGCATGTGCCCCGATCTGCATTGATAGACAGGGAATGTGAAAACTGTATTGTATTACTTGTAACATTATCTGTGTGGACAAGAATATACACGTTATTGTTGTATTATATGCAATACAATATGTGTTGATAGGCATTGCTATACATGTTATGTCAAAGAGTTGTGATTTGGTATTATGTTAATCTAACTCATTAGATCGACTTTTAAAATAAATTCCAGGATTTTATCAACTATTGGATAACCAAGAATGTTTAGTAACACCTAGTAGGTTTAATTAATGAGTCGAGAGTGAGGAAACGTATATTGGTTGTTGGAGAAGTAGACATTATTTTATGAGATTTGCGGTGGTATACCGTAATTATACTGGCGCCAATTGAGCTTTACTGGCGACGCGGAAAAGAACCAGTAAAAAGGATATTTGTGACCGTTAAAGCATTATTTGAATGAAATGTTTTTTTTTTATATCATACTTTATTTTTGAATGTTCACATGTTAGTACACAGTGGAGTACATGACACTTATTACATAGTATTTCATATTGTCTCGCATACTAATGAATTCTATCTCTCTTTTTTTTTCATTTTGTGTCTTTTTCCTGTACAATAACAACTGCTTGCGTTCTTATTTTTAGGTAATAAATAATTCTAGATATGATTAACATCGATATTAAGAATGAGTAAAATATGAAATTAAATTCAATTAATCAATGTTCAATGCTGTGCTGATAACGGCCCACTTCGCTACTACTTGGTCGGCTTTTGCACGGGGATATGACAGGATACATTGATTTTCAATTAGCTTATAGTATGATATTGCAGAACGAACCCCGCCAATAGTTGGCATTGTATGTTTGTTTCTGCATGAGTAAATATATTTCTTTATGATGATGATACACATATTCACACTTTCATTTTCAGGAGTGTCATCTATTCCAAATGAAAAGGAAATATTTGACTATGGAAAATCTATATTACAATAAGTTACAAATTGTTGTCTTAAAAATGACCAGAACGCACGTGTATGAGGAAAATCTCAAAATAAATGCGTTAGCGTTTCTCTATTTAACGTACAAATATTACAAATTTCTGTTTCTGTAATGATAATTTTCATTAGTCTAGAGTTTGTATCGAGTATTCCATGTAGCAATTTAAATTGAAAAGTTTGTAGTGTTGTGTCATCTGTTATACTGAAGGGTAGTTTGAAGTACATCTTCCAACTGTCATTTGTTATATCTAATCCAATTTTCCCTTGCCATTTTTGCATAGATGAAATAGGGAGATCTAGATATCGATTGACCAATACTGCATACAAATCTCTAGTTATCTTTTCTTTCCCTTTTAGTATTTGTATGTATTTGTTTTCTAGTACATCAATATTTTTCTTGTATGTTTTAATCACGTTTTTCCGTGAATTTGGGATAGATGCAAGTAAGCCATAGTACTCAACAAAGTTAATTTGGATATCATATTGAAGTTTAAGTTGATTCACATCAATAAATTCACCCCTGTCATTAACTAAGTCTTTAATGAAGAACATATTATTTTCTACCCACCTTTGATACAGTACATACTGTTTGTTTATCTTAATTTTATTGTTAAACCATATTGGTTGTGATAGTATTTCTGACGGGGTTGTGGGTGGAGCACGCTCTATAGAAGTCCATATTTTGATAATATTACTCCAGAAAGAATTGAAGTGATCTGCTCTGTTGTTTAAGCCCTCGCTATTCATGTTCCAAATTGATTATGGCCAAGTTTATCAGATATTTTGTTTCCAGGGAAAATTGTTGTTGGGGTCTTGTATTTTTTTTTATCCATGTCATTTTTAGTGCTTGGCAGTATGATTTTATATGAGTGAGTCTAAGGCCTCCATTCTCGTATGAGTTTATTATTATATTACTTTTAATATTGTCAATTTTCCCTGACCATAACGAAAAAGGTTTTTGGAGGTTGTTAATGAACACATCAGAAGGGTCTGGAAGTACTGTAAAATATGTGTGAATATTGGGAGTGCTAGTGTCATGATCACCGTGACTTTCCCTGTGTGACTAAGAGATCTAAAAGACCAGTCATTTAATAGTTTGTTAACAGATTCATTTTTTTCATCAAAGTTTTGTAATGTTACATCCTCCTGGTTCAGATCCTATTATGTGATCCCAAGGAGCTTAAACTTCCCTCTGTGATTCCAAACAATATTCTTTTCTTGCAAGTATTCTACCCCACAAGGCCGCTTTGCCCCTAGCCAAACTACATGGGTTTTTTCCGAAATTTAATTTCAAAATAATCTAAAGTAACAAATTTTTCCTTTAGAGATTGTTCATCATCTTCAAGACAGAGTGTTGAATCATCTGCATATTGGCTTAGTAGGTATTCAGAGTGGTCAATATTAAGCCCTTTAATATCAGGATTAAATTTAAAGGAACTGCTTAGTAATTCCACAGACAAAATGAACAAATACGGGGAAGGGGTCTCCTTGTCGAACTCCTCTTTTAATGTCAAAAAATCTTAATCCGTGACCGTTATTATAAATACAACTTGTAATATTTTTGGTCCAAATCCTTGAAACGTTAGAGCTTTTTGTATAAAATGCCATTCTAGAGAGTCAAATACTTTTTCGAAATCTAATAGAATAAGTAGCCCTGGAATATCTTTTTCATTAGTCTTTTCAATAAGATCAAGAATAAGACGTGTACATTCACCTATATATCTACCTTTAATGAACCCTTTTTGAGTATTGCTGATTAAATCTTGTAAAACTGGTTTTATTCTATTTGCAATACTTGCTGCTGCAATTTTATAGTCCACATTTAAAAGAGATATTGGTCGCCAATTTTTCAAAACTAGTTTTGACTTTCCGTCTTTTGGGATGCAATTAATTACGCCTTGTCTCTGAGAAATAGATAGTTGTCCTACTTCTAATGCTTTGTTAAGAGAATTTATTAGAGGTTCATGTAAATCATTGAAGAAAAAATTATAAATTTCAACTGTGAAACCGTCTAGACCAGGTGATTTAAAGTTTCCCATATTTTTTAAAGAATTTAAACATTCCAATCTACTTGAATAAAATGTTAATTTTCAAGATATTGATCGGAATAAAACACTTGTTTGCGGTTCTTTATGTTTCTGCACTTGACTGCTAGCAACTTAACCAGACTATACTAACCTGTAAATGTCCACCTTGGGACTATACCGTTTTTGACGTCGCTTATAACCCTTTGGTTAGATTGTTGTACTAACGCTATTATACCTGTTTTATGCAGCTTGACATGTTTTTTTTGTGTTTTTTTTTTTTTTTTTTGTTCATTTATTTTCATTTTAAGTCTAAAAACTGTGAAAGGTAACAGGCAGCAAACAATGCGTTTAAGTTAAGTTTGGATTCCCTTTGACATCATTTTCCATGAGCTAATTNGGTATCTAATTCATTGAAAGATGATTCATAATAATTTTTTCAATCAAGTAAATGATTTTGATATTGTTATCCATCTTTTGAGACAAAAAGCCTAGCATTAAAACCACCGAAGTAGACTTGCTGAAAGATGTAAAGAAAGCCGATTATAATTTTGTTAAAATTTGGATTTGAATTGATGTGAAGAAAAAATTAAACAGTGGCTTCATTTTCTCTATCAATAAATACAATTACACAATGAACCAAATAGCAGATAAATCGTGCATGTTACATTTGCATATAACACATCTACATTGACACGTATACATCTATACAGGTATGAAAACATCTAAATGTTTGTCTTTAAACATGGAAAAATCACTTTTGAACAAAGCTTACAAAGAACACAAAAACAACAAGAAGATAACGAAATGTCAACACAACCGCCCTGTTAACTCGAAATCGAAAAACGGGGGGAAATATAAACAAAGGAAATATTCACATTGGAATACGTGGAAAAGTGTAAGTAGAACAGGGCCGTGTGGTCCGGACGTCTTCTAGCTCACTGACAACGCTTGCAATATCAATCTACAGTTATTTCAGATCCCTATCGAGAGAACTGGGGTAGCGTTGTTAATATTAATGATAGTTATAGAAATAGTAGATCGTTATACAACACAAAGAATGATTTTTTTATAATGATAAGATAATCTTTTTTCAATTTCAACAGATATTATTGACTTTATATATGTCAATTGGATTTGAAATCAGGCTAGGCCTATTTAAGTCCTTTCCAAACTTATTTACAACCATTACATTTATTCTGTCATAACAATCCAATTAAACAGTGCAGGGGAGATAACCCCAATATAGCTTGTGAAATGAACATTTAACAACTTTTATTTAATCTTTTTCTGTTTATGTTTTAGATATTAACAATTAATTAAATGTATATTTATTGACAACCCATCCTTCATAAAATCCAAGGGATACAGGCCCAAAAGTCCCTGTGTATAAACACATTGACCCTCCATCCACTGGATATATAGGATAAGTTACCAAGAAATAAACATTTTGTACAATTTCAGAATATGATATGGATTCATATAGGAAAATGTAGTTATTGTTTTATATTATTGGAGTTGATTCTCTTAAAATTTGTTTAACAAAGCACTCTAGATTAGTAATGAACAGGTTATATAATAGTACACTCATACATTCCATCCAGTCCAGCAGAACACTAGAGTTGTTGTGAAGATAGATATACACCATTATCAATACTTATTAGCAGAGTGATCATGACTCTATGAATAATAGCATCGCTTTCAATGTAAAGTTTTGCTGTGAGTGTGATTACATTTCAAGCCTATTCGTTTGATAAATGTAGTCAGATATACTTTGTAAAATGGATATGTTAATATCAGCGCTGCATATTAACAGGGATGTGTAGTGGAGGGATTTGCAACT